CCAGTGCTGACTAATCAGAATTACTCTGATCCATCCTGGAAGCACTACAGAATGAAGATGAGGAAGAGTGGGGCTTTCAAAATTCCCAGATCATGGGGTACTAACACAAAGTATCACCCATGGACCAGCTAGGGGTGGGGGCTGTATGGTGTTAGCTCACCTTTTCATTTTTTCTGAGGTGGAAACACTTTAAAGTTTAACTCCAGTGCTAGATTTCTAAGAATAAAAAAGCAGCTCTCGTCGCAATACTCAGCTTTAAAGCTTTAAAGAAGATGTTTGTTTAGGTAGCAGTATGTCCCAAAAAAGGTTTAGGTAGCAGTACACCCCTTTACAACCCCCCACAACAGCGCTGTGCTTGTCTGTAGCAACTCTCCCCATTCTCACAAAGGCAGATTGGCTCCTGCTGCTGTCAGTCAAACCCTGTAACGAGAGGTCAATGCTGAACCATGCTGTTTGTATCTATAGATGCAGGCAGTGTGGCTCTGTAGATCAACTTCTACTTAACTGCAGTGGCCACTCATATATCGAAATTTGGTTGAACCGGTTGAATTTCCATTCAACTAAGGCCACCTTTAGATGTTTTAAAATACATACAGTATGTTAAAAATGCACAGGTTATTAAATTGTGTTTTAATCTTTAAACAGAGTTCAGCTTTAATATTATTGGGTGACTTTGTAAAATGGTTATAGAATTGTAAACTTCAGCCTGAGCTATGATGTAATAGGTGAGGTTGTACCATGCTCCCTAGTCTGGCATATTGTCATTAAAAATACGTTACAAGCCTCATTTACCGTGTTTGCCGCAGTCTTGATTTCACCACAGTTTCCCGGCTTTTCTTTCCATCTGCTAGCAATTTTAGGAATAGTGAGGTAGTGAAAGGGATGAGCAATACAAAGGTAAATGGTACCCACATAATTCTTTTCAGCACTTTCTTAATTGCATTTTTATGATCTTTTTCATTGTTGCATCAATTATATGGAAACAGCAGCTTAAATCCAAATTGCCCATGCAAATTATGTTTTAAAAATTAATCAGTAAGCTAAAACAAGCAACTACAGGCAAGAATGAAAGTGAACCTTTCCCCAAGCAAGTAAACATAATCCCTCATAATCTGCTCCATTACTTTTTTTTCTCTAAAACATGCAACCTAAGCAGAATAAACAGTGTTGTCACCTATATGTTAATTTTGGCTAAAGGTCAGTAGCTAAATCCTGATATCTATCTCTAACCACTCCCACTGGCTCACTGCTTTGCAGATATCAGTGACACAAAACTGTCATTAACAGCTTGGCCTCATTGTCTCTATGCTGAGCTAAATGTAAGACTGCAGCTCCAAAAACGCAAATAACCGGGTCTTTGGATATTGATTGGAGCAGTTTTTTCCCTGATAATGTGCTAGTGAGTTATTTATAGTCTGAATAGTTTATACACAATATGAATATATAGGAAAGTGCTGGAGACTTATGAAGAAATTCAAGCCTTCACCTGACTCTAGTCTGAGTCCCCCGCCTACAACACCCCTCCCCAAATGAGGCGATTGGTTCTCTGCTGTAAGGAGACACCCTGCTGAGTTCCTAGAAAAAGGCTGTTATGCTTGGAGCAGTTGAAGTCAGGGGCAGACTTACCATTCGAGCACTCGGCACTGCCCGAGGGCCCGGGGTCAGTAGGGGGCCCCATGAAATGCCCCTGGTACCTTTTCTAGGCTTTTTTGGGTGTGATTTGAGTGTGCGCAAGGACACAGGGGCCCCATGATCCCCTATTGCCCGGGGGCCCCATGAGTTGTCAGTCCGCCCCTGCCTCTTCCCCATTTGACCTGGTATACTATATGTCTCTAATATCCCTAGTGTGACGTCACTCTAGTCAAGTGGAACTATAGGTTTCAGCATGGGCAACAGGACACTCTTTTTGTGGGGGGTGACAAAATGATAAAAAAACAGAGGAATGAAGATAAGGAACGCTGGCCTTTTGCTGTTGACTAGTATTGATTTATGCACCACTACCACAGGGCCATATGTCTACTTGTGCATGTAGTACCAAAATGGCAGATACATTTACAATGGGTGACATGCTGCAGGAAGTGGCTGAAGATACAACAGTGCTGTGAACAGTATGATATGTTAAAATGAGGCCAAGACCAGCCCTATGGATAGCAGTAGCCTGTATATCTTTGGGGGAAAGTACTGCCAAATGGCATAGGATGGCTGCTTCCTCCATACCTCTGCAAGTTGCCTCTGCACCTGGACAAAATCCTCATTTGCTAATGTTCTGCTTCTCTGTCAGTTTTCACCTTTACAACTGGTGGTGCCCACAAATGGTTGGCCAATTAATCATGTGTCTCTCTTCCCCCCCTCATTGCAAGGGCCCACTTGGCAGTAAGCTCCCACTGCAGGAGCAACATTGCCATTTGCTGCTCCTTGTCTGATGTTCCCTCCATTTATGACCTTTTTCATCCTCAATATCTGAAATAAAAAATTCTTGTGCATGGCCAAGATCATCCTTCTGCAGTAGGTAACTGATTGAGTGATATCATTTTGCCCACTCCTCCATGCCAGAGTGCAAGGCTATGGTAGGAATAGCAGAAGAGGAAGAGAAGGAAGAAGAGGACATGCTAGCAACAGCTGTAGACAACAGGTTGCTCTATGCCTGGTAGGAGGAAGAATAGGAAGGCCTTCTCAGCCACTTACACACCTCCTCTATGTACTATTGCTATAAAGCATGGCTGCTCAGCGAAAGAAAAGACAGACATGCCCTATCTGTAGATTGTGCAGCCCAGCCACCACTTTGTCCTGCAGAACCTGTTCACCCCCTACTACCTCTGAAGATCTGTCTCTCTCTTTAAAACCTGCCTGCCATTTACAATAAAGGAGATTACCAAACTTTAATGGCCGTTATGTCAAAAAGCGGAATAAACGTGTGGCTTTAGTGTACAATACTTTACCACACAAGTATGGGTTGACATGCTGCAAACAATGGGCAGCTTTGCCTGCTTGAGCAAAAAGTACACACTGAAGACCGCAAAAAAAAAAAGCCTAGGAAAAATAATCAAGTATTCTTAAAAAAACTAAACAGTGAAACACTAAACCCCAATCCAATTTTTTTAAACCTAACTTAGCAGAAATTTGCTGATCCAAGTTCAAAGGCCAAGAAATGCATTGTGGTTAGCTACGTATTATTGAACCACAAACAGGCTTGGGTTAGTCTCAAACCCATGTTAGACCCCAGCCCTAACTTCCTCCCTATTGGATTATTTGGAATGGCGATTGATAATCAGGTCTTCTTATCCAACTTCAGTACTAGACCTCAGAAATGCTCTTTAGCTGAATGTGCACAAATTTCCAGACACACTCCAATACCTTATGGAAAGCCTTCTCACAAGTGTGGAGGCTATTAGAGCCAAAGAGGAGGGGAATCTATATTACTGTTTAGGAATAGGATGTTGGTTAAGCTCTTATAAGTGTTACGCTCAGAAGTCCACAAACATTTGGTCTTTGAAGCTTAGATATCCATACCAAGTTCAGCAACAGCAGATAAAAACTATTTTCTGCTTTGTATGGTATGCTTTTTTATTAAATACCCTGCTCATGTATTTTTGTTATTAAAGAGAGAAGAAAGAAAAAAGTCAGCAGCTAAAAATACTGTGACTGCTAACTTTTGATAAAAGGGCACTTTCCTGTCCAGGGATTCAGAACAGTCTTCACCCAGGCCGGTTCTTCAGGTCCCCAGCACCGGCATGTAGGAAGCCTACTGTGACTCCTTGCAGCTTCCCAGCCAGCTTCCCACTGCACATGAGCAAGCCACACTACACTTTGTGAATACCTGTGACATGTCGCACTAGTCGGTGGGCAAGGGGGGCAGGGGGAGGGGGAGGGGGGGGCAACGTCCGCTTGGATCACCTAGTGGCAGTGGGTACCTATCAAAACTAGGTACTCTCTCCTCCCAAAATTATAATGTTCCATATGTGGTAGAGGAGAGGGGAAGCAGGACATAAAGCATAAATTCCCCTTTAGGCTGCAGTTCTGCTTTTTTTGTACACATAATAATTTTAAGAAAATGTTCTAAATGTTTTTACATGTAATTCCATCTTCAGCTGTTAAACTGATGACACACATAAGGCCGTCTTAATAGCATCATGGGCCCCTGGGCAAAGTAATGCACTGGGACCCCTTCTAGCCTTCCCCAATTTACACACCTACTCTCAAGAATTAAAGTATAAATAGTTCAGAGAATTAAACCTTTATTTATTAGTACTTTTAATTAAAAAATAATTAAAGAATAGGAAAATGTGCCATAAATCAAAGACTAATCAATACAAAGGGCATGATGTGGGGAGGGAACAGGAGGGCACAGTTTGGGGGGATCAGGAGGGCACAATACTGGGATCAGGAGAGCACAGTACAGGTTCTGGAATGCTGCCTGGGATATGGTCATCCTGGGACAGCTTAGTAAAAAGCATGACTGTCCTGGCAAATCTATGTCAGTTGGCACGTATGATGTAGTAAAGTTATCATGGGGCCCCCATGCACCTGGGGCCCCTGGGCAGTGCCCTGGGGTGCCCATGCATTAAGACAGCCGTGGACACACAGGCAAGTCACTAAAAAGACTGCCTGTGTGTTCCTAGTATCTACATGCAGGCGATGTTACTCTGTTACTGGCATGAACTCCATTACTAGTGATGGGAGTGAAATCTCACTGCCTCAGCTACAGAGGGAGTAATTACACAGGGAAAAACAGGTAGCCTCTTAGGCTACTTTCACACTGCACCCTTTCAAAAACACTGTAAAAATGCATATGCGATTTTTCTGCTTTTTAATTGCGTTTTTGCTGCATTTCCAGTGTGTTTTGCACCTGCGAAAAAAAATGTGAGCAACTATTTAAAATGCACCAAATCTCAACCATGAGTGTGTTTTTGCTGCATTTTTTAATGCGTTTTCCATTCATTTCAATGGGGAGGTGCATTTTTGGTGGAGTTTATATTACCACACAGGGGCAGACTGACAACTCATGGGGCCCCCGGGCAATAGGGGATCCTGGGGCCCCTGTGTCCTTGCCCAAACTCAAAAAAACCTATGAAAAAGGTACCAGGGGCATCTCATGGGGCCCCCTACTGACCCCAGACCCTCAGGCAGTGCCCAAGTTTCCAAATGGTCAGTCCGCCCCTGTTACCACACCATACATGCACCAAAAATGCAAGCAGGAATTTCGTTAAAAAAAAACCAGACCCGCAAATAACCAGTGTGTAGAGTTCCATAGTATTTCTATTTCATGATAATACATTTTTTCTTCTGCTTTTTTAATGCAAAAACAGAAGAAAAACAGATCAGTGTGAAAGCAGCCGTAGTGATCCTGCTCCTGCCAATTGTGTATGATCCTCCTATCGCCTGTATGTCATCAGCTTTACCGTGCCTCTTCCTGTCCAAGACTCGAGACAGCTGATGTTGGCAGGTTTATATAAAGTAAACTTCATGCAATTATAATGATTGACTGTCATGGTGATCACATTGTTAGAACCCGTGCTGACTGGTTCCCAATAGTTGATGCATATGTGTAGCTGCTAGTGACAAGGGGGCATTTAGAATAAAAGTGTATGTACAGCCAAAGCTTTATTTTTTTAAGTTTTGAGCACAATAGAGAAGGGTTTAAAACTTCTGTTTTTTGTGTATGTGTCCCCAATGGGTAAATCCATATTTTCTATTTAGAATGGTGACAATTGTTAGAAAGACAGAAAATAAAGAAAAATCCAAAATATTAAAATTGTCATTAGAACAAGAGGCAAAAGGAAATCTTCAATGTGCACGACTGTTTAAAAGGGTTTAATTTCCCTTACTTAGCAGAAATTTTCTTTACTTCCTATTGCATCTGCAGAATAGGATGTGGAGGAAAATTTCTCCAACAAACTATTTACAGCAAAAACAAATTCATAGGGACTTTAACACATCCAAAAATGAAAATAAATGTTTTTGCTATGCATACACTTTTGGGTGCATTCACACTTGTGAATGCCCCTGTCTGCAATCAGTTGCAAGAAACTCATTGGGGGTTCCCATGATTAGTTGTGAGTAGGCAGCCTTATTGTATGTAATGGGAGTTAGCCAGCTTTCGCAGGTAATCGTGTCCACTCATGTGTAATTACTCAAGCAGTGATCATATGCAAGTGTTTGGCCCTGGACTCAGGCTTTCAGTGGGGCTGTATGCTCACAGCTAATTGCAGGAACCCTCGCTGAGGTTCTCACAGCCAACCACAGACAGGGTACATTCACAAATGTGAATGCAATCCTAAGAGGTCTATTTATTTAAAAAGTTCAAATCCAATTATCTAGCATAGGGGTGTCCAACCTACAGCCCAAGACGGCCATGAATGTGGCCCAACACAAAACCATAATCTTACTTAAAAATTTATATTTTTTTGAAAATTTGTTTGTAAAAATGCATTTAGACTTAGCAAACACATGTGGCTGAAATAAAATCTGACAGTGTCTCTTTACTGAACTTTTTTTTTATATACATTCTTTTTATACATTTTATCTTCCCAAAGGAGAATACCCCACTCTTCACAATCACACCTTATTCATGTCATCAGTTTTTGGCAGCACCTGTATTTTGTGAGCAACTATTTTCAAGAATGATGCACATGAAGGTCCAAATTAGAGCCAAGATATCTGATGAGCACCTTGTGAATTAATTGAAAATTGCTACTACATTCATCAAACCAGATACTGATGTGTTAGTTTATCCAAAAACGTTTCAAATATCACATTAGTTTTATGTTGCCCTCTTTTACTTTTATAATAAAAATTATTACCATAAAAGTTTTATTAGTCAGATAGGTACACTACCTATATCAGTGATTGTTAACGTGATCTGCCTGACTTTTTCTGCTTATAAGCTATCCTTATTGTTTGTGTATTTTATGTGTGACCCAAGACGATACCTCTTTTTCAAATGTAGCCCAGGAAAGTTAAAAGGTTGAACACCACTGATCTAGTGAAATTGCATTTACATTTGCTCTGTGCGAATTATACAACTGGAATATTCTTTAGGCTATTATCTCTTCTGAATAAATGTTATTTTATTCTAGACAGTAGAATAATACTACATTATGGCCACTAGATGCAGATGAGAAACATAGAAAATATGTAACAAGATATACAATCTAACAATGCTAGAGAACACTAGAGGGAATTAGCAAATAAGTGTAATCAATAATCAATAACCAGTAAATAATGTCCATCATATAGGTCATGGCTGAGCACAACCACATGGTACTGTCATACATGCTGATTAATTTAGTAACCTTTTTAAGGGCAATTTGTGACACTCCATAAAATGCCCATTGCTAGTGGCGTATTTACTGCAAGGCAAAAGAGGCATTTGCTTTGGGCAGAAATTTTCAGAGGGGCAGAAGGAGAAACCTGGAGAGATAAAGTTAGTGAATCAGGATGTGGTAGTGTGTGTGTGTGGGGGGGGGGGGTTGTTGGCAGCAGCCAGTGGTGGTGGCCATGGGAGAGGGCTCCTGGAGAGGAGACAAGCTGATGAGTTATAGCCGTGGCTGGGACTGTGTTCTCCAGTCATTCAAGAACTGGTAGACTTGTGTCCTTTCATTGAAGAGCAGCATTCAGAGGAACAATGTTGCTCAAATGATGTGTAAGATTGCTTCTCTACTGCCACTTTACTCCTTCTATCTTCACTAACTCCCTCTCTCCTCAAGGGGTGGTGGGCTGTGGTGGCAGAGGGTGGTGGCATTGGGAGAGAGGATGTTTGCTGCGATTGCCGAGTGATATATCATGCAGCAATCACAGCAAACCACATTCTGTGAAGCTTTTCACCCAATGGAATCTCCTGCTCCTTTGTGGACAACAAGCTTTGATTGATGCAGTCTGCTGTGATTGCTGTGTGATTTATCCTGTGACAATCATGGCAAAACTGCACAGCATTTAGGTACCATTAAACACACAAGGTGCTTTTTGCAACTATTGTAGTGCGATTGGGACCGCGGGCAGAATCATAGCAATTCTGCTCAAGATCCCAAAACGCCAGATGTGAATGGGGCCTTAACAGGGGCGGACTGACCAGTCGAGCACTCGGGCACTGCCCGAGGGTGCAGGGTCAGTAGGGGGCCCCATGAGATGCCCCTGGTACCTTTCCTTGGCTTTTTCCTTGGTGAGGGCAAGGACACAGGGGCCCCATGATCCCCGATTGCCCGGGGGCCCCATGAGTTGTCAGTCCCCCCCCTGGGTCTTAATGATTTAGCTAGCTAAAACTGCTGAAAGATATTACTTTAACGTTCCTTTTGCTAGGTGAACGGCTTCTTCCTTTTAAACATCAAGGTTTCCATGTAATGAAAAGCTATGAATAATGCTGGAATTCGTGTTTATCAATTTGGATACAGTAAGTTAAATTTCTTGTTATTTCCAACAACAGTTACATTTTAATATAATAAGGAATACATAATAACAGTTTGGAGCTCAGCATTCTTTGTTCCCCTATCAGTACAATTCAGGACAACTGCAGTCCAGGTCTATTTTCCAATCTCCTAAAGACATTAGCAAAACAAAGATCCCACGATCCCCCAACATCTCTCCCAGAAGATCCAACCGGGGGGTCCAGGCAATAAGGACCTCAGGACTCTTTCATATCTCAGATGACTTCCATAGAGATAATCATGTTATCTATGTTGTGTCTTTTCTTTCTACAAGCCATGTAAGCGTAAAATCTCTTTCTAGCCAACCTGAGAAGAGGGAAAACCCTACCTATAACCAATCAAATATAATCTGTAGCTTGCTCCTTCAGAATATACATGGAGAATAAAGACTGCTATTGTTTGCCTCTCATCTCTTCCCATGTGCAGTCCAGCTAGCAATGCTTCCTCTTCTAGTAATGGAAAGAGAAATTTTCCCATGGCTACCACTGGTAAGAAATAGGATTATGTATGCCAAGGAGGGCATAGCTAAAACGGCAAGTTTGATCTGCGGATAAAAGCTACGGTTAGGGCTGCTTTGAAATAAAAGTATGTACACCAAGGAGGGTACAGCTAAAAGACCAAACTTGATTATCTGTTAAAAGCCACAGCTACCATTGGTATTAAATAAAATGAAGTACACCAAGGAGGGCACTGCCAGGAGGACAGGCTTCATCAGCTGCTAAATGCCACCGTTATGATTGTATTCATTAAAAGAGAAATTGGGGGGAGGGGTTCCCAAATTATACTTACCTAGGTGGATGCTGCATCTGTCCCCTGCCAGCTCTAAGTGTGAGAACTCAGTAATCACATGACCGCTGATCACTTTGTCCTCACCTCCACTAGGAGCAGAGAGCGGTGACTGTCAGTCACCGCTCTCTGCTCTCCTGAATTCCTCCCTTCCCATGGTCATGGAAGCACTGGGCTGTGGAGTGGGAGGGATTGGCTGGCCCAGGCTCTCAGCAGCTTGCTGAGAGGCTGAGCAGGTGCCAGTCCAGACTCTGGGGTGGATCCCAACTTTTCTTTCCGCAGCCTGGACCGTCTGAGTGATGTCAGCCAAAAGCGGGCTTTAGCCTGCTGTCAGCTGAAAACGGGTCACATGAGTGCAGAATGAACTGCACTCCTGTGATCCACAGAAGTACAGTCAAAAGAGCCTTGACTGTACTTCTCCTTAAAGATGGTCTATGCCAAGGAGGGCACCCCAAGAAGTACAAGATGTGGGTGGTTGCTGGTGTGGGCACAGGTGCGATTCTTACACCCGCATCCAGCCGGCAGCCTGTGGGCTAGTGTGAACTGATTGTCAAAAGCCACAGCTACAACTGGTATTAGGTATGATTGTGTACACCAAGGATGACATCTTTAGAGGTTAAGGCTTCATCTGCTGCTAAACACCACTGCTCTGACTGGTTTACAATAATTATGTACACAAGCTAAATCCACGCCTCTGAGTGTTGTGATTGATGTGTTTTTTTCTGGTGCATTTTGTTGTGCGTTTTGTGTTTTTGAACATGTGTTTTTGATGCATTTTGTATTTAGGCCAATAGGGTTTTGAGTATTGACTTTTATGCCACTTTGATGGTACTTGAATGACAGAGTGCAAAGTCGCATCAAAGTTGATCTAAAGTCACTCTAAATGAACAGAACTGTCATATTTTCCTATTAGCACAAAAAAAAAAAAGAGTTGCAGCAGTTAAAACTTGC